CTGGCGAACAGGAGACCCGTGGTGCCACCAGTTGGCACGGCGTCTCCTGCCATACCACCGCCACCGCCACCACCACCAGCACCGCCATTGGCACCAGAAGCAGCAGCAGCAGCAGCAGCTGCAGCCATGCTGCCTCCTGCCAGGCCCTGCTGTGCCTCCAGCAGCAGCGGTGCCGCCACCCCTTGCAGCGCTGCAGCCGCTGCTGTGAGCCGCTGCTTGTCCGACCCCACCCTAGGCACTGGCATCGGCACATGAGCAGGCACAGGCATTGGGATAGAAACACCTGACCCCACCCCACCACCACCACCATCACCACCACCACCGCCACCGCCCATCCCTCCTGCCATGTTGCCGCCACTGCCGGCACTGGCGACGCTAGTGATGCTAGTGATGCTAGTGACAGTGCTTCCCGTGCCAAGGCTAGCAGACGAATGACGCCCATGGAATCGCCCTGCAGGGAAACCCTGCTGCTGCTGCTGCTGCTGCTGCTGCTGCTGCTGCTGCTGCTGCTGCTGCTGGGACAGACAGCCGCCGCCGTCCCTCCTTTCCCCCCCCAAAGCGCCCCCCGCGCTCCCCCCTTGCGGCGGCGGCACTCTAGCTGGCTGGCGCTTGGGCTTGGCGAAGCGGGCGGTGAAGAAGAAGCTGGACCCGGTGCCGAGCTCGCTCTCCACCCACACCTTCCCGCCCATCATGTGCACCATGCTGCGCACTATGCTGAGCCCCAGGCCGATCCCACCGTACACGCGCGTGTGCGACGTGTCTGCCTGCACAAAGTTCTCAAATATCTGCTCCTGCTGGTCCTGGCTGATTCCGATGCCCGTGTCGCTCACACACACCACCAGCCATATCTCCTCCGTGCCATCCCCCCCGTCCCTACCCGCTCCTCCCACCCCAATTCCTGCTGCTCCCCCCCCCCCTCCTCCTCCTCCTCCTGACCCTGCTCCTCCTCCCCCTCCTCCCCCTCCCCCCCTCCTCCGCCGCCTACCCCTCCCCTCCCCACAGCAGCCGCTGCTGCCCCTACAGCGCCTGTGTCGCTGCCTATCCGGTCCACTCCTCTGAGCCCTCGCCTCACCTTGCCCGTATCCAGGGAGTGCGTCCTCGTGATCGAAATGGCTGACCAGTTCTCACCTAACCCTCCCTTGTTGCCTCCCCTCCCACCGCCACCACCGCCACCACCACCGCCGCCGCCACCGCCACCCCCCCCTCCCCCTCCCCCTCCGCCCATACTGGAGCCGACACTCCGCCTTCCCTTAGCGCCTGACAACCAAGTACCCCCCCCTCCTGTCGAAACGCTTCCCTTTCCTTCCCCCTTTCCTCCTCCCTCCCTGCTTACCCTCTCTCCTCCTCCCTCCACACTCGCCGCCCCTCCCGCTGCCGCTCCCCCTGTTCCTGCCCCTCCCAGAGTCCCAACGGCCCCTCCCCCTGCCGCTCCACTGGCCACACCCCCTACCACGCTCTCGACCTCTCCCCCCTTCCCTTCCCCCCCTCCTTCCCCTCCAGCCCTCTCCTGCTGCTGCAGATCAGCAGCAACACGGCCCAGTAGCTCCCCCCCGTCGCTCATGGCACTCCTCCGCACCTTCCGCCTGGGCCGCTCCTCCCTCACTGGAATCGCCACACTGCCGCTGCCCCCGCGCCCCCGCAGCAACACCCCCACCCCTCCCCTCCCCGCTGCGCGCCCCCCTCCTCTATCCCTCCACACATCCCCAGCAGTGTCTACACCGCCACCCCCACCACCAACACCACCAGTTGCATTTGAGCCCACAGGAGCAGGGGAGAGAGAGGCATGTGCAGGGACGGTGGAGGAGGGAGGGAGGAAGCGGGGAGAGGAAGAGGAGGTTCCCGAGGGGAGGAGGGGTTGGGAGGGGAGGAAGGTGGAGGAGGTGGAGGAGGACGGGGGGGGAGAGGAAGGGTAGGTGAGGGAGGAAGATTGGGGCCATGTGTCGAGAGCGTTGGAGCTGCTGCTGCGACCGAGAGAGGTGAGCGGCGTTCCCCGCTGCTGCTGCTGCTGCTGCTGGGACCGGGAATGAAGGTGGATTGAGGGCTGAGCTCTTGACAGGGACGGGGAGTGTGAAGTGACGCCAGCAGCAGCTGCAGAAGCAGCAGCAGCAGCAGCAGCAGCGGAGGTAGAGGGGATGGTGGTGTCTAGTGATTCTGCAGATGAAAGGGCAAAGAGAGAAGAACCCATTCCCATCTCTACATCCATTCTGGAGTTCTGGCTGCCTCTCACAGCAGCAGCAGCACCACCACCAGCACCAGTACCAGTACCACTGGCAGCACCACTAGCAGCGTCAGCGACAGAAGCGGACGCGGAAGAAACACCCACTAGAGGCCACCAGCCTGCAAAGCTAACGGGACCTGCTGACCCCCCCGAAGCTCGGCCCAACCGAGTGGATCCAACACCAGCAGCACCTGCTGCTGCGCCCTCTGTACCTACCCTTCCTACAGTCGCAGCTGCAGCAGCAGCGCTACCACCGGCAGTGAAGCTGCTAGCTCCCCTGCCCGTCAACATCGCAAACGGCCCTCCCCCTCTTCTCCCTTCTCCCCCACCCGCTCCTCCTTTCCCCCCTCCCTCATCCCCTCCCCCTCCCACTTCCCCATCGCCGTCTCCCCCCCACCCCGGGCCCCTGTCGCTGCCCCCAGCCTTCTCGTCCCGGCCTAAGAGCGTCACTGGGATGGCCCAGCGCAAGGAGGCAGAGGCCGTGGACCGGTGGATCCTGCCGCTCTCACTCCCTGTTCCTCCCCCTCCGCCTCCCTGCTCTAGATCCCCCCCCTCGTGCTCTCCAAAAGCCCCTGCTTCCGCATCCCCACCACCACCTCTCCCCCCTCTCACCCTTGCTCCGTCCGCCCCTGCCTCCGCCCCTGCTGCTGCTGCTGCTCCCCCGATCCCCATCCCCCCATTTCCCCCCACACTCGCGTCCCTCTGTCCCGCGCCCCCCCGCCCCCCTCTCTGCGCCATCAGGTTCAGCTGTCGCTGGGGCTCCAGGCTCCAGGACCGGAAGAGAGACGCCAAGGGGGCCAGGCGGGGGGGAGCGCGGGCGGAATTCGGGGCCGTGATGGGGGTGGGGGGGGCGGCGGGTGTGGCAGGGGTGGCGGGGGCGATGGGGGGGCGGTATGACGACGAGGCACCAGCAGCAGCAGAGGGAGCAGAGGGAACAGCAGCAATAGGCATGTCAGCCAGGCCAGCCAGGCCAGCCAGGCCAGCAAGGGCGCCTCTTCCTGGGCCTGCTCCCGATGCGGATGACACGCCAGAGAGCCTGGACGCATTGAAGCTCTCTGAAAGGTTGGAGAGAGCCAGGCTGATGCCTCTGAACCTGCCGCCTGCACCGCTGCTGCCAGCAGCAGCAGCAGCGCTGCTACCACCACCGCCACCACCACCAGCAGTAGCAGCAGCAGCTGCTGCTGCTGCTGCTCCGCCTACTCCTTGCCTCTCCGTTCCTCCATCCCTGTCCACGCCTCCTGCTGCTGAAGCAGCACCTGCCTGGGCGTCTCCCCCGCCTGCCGGGCCTACCCCACTTCCCCCCTCTGCGTTCGCTTCCCCATCTGCACCACCAGTACTGGCAGCAGTGGTAGCATCTCCAGCAGCGGCAGCAGGTGGCGCGGCGGTGCTGTTAGAGGAGCGCTGGAAGGGCGTGGACATGAAGATGCGGGAGAGACCACTGGCATTCCAATCCGTGCCGGATGACGTCCGGGTGTGCCTTCCCTTCCCACCACCACCCGCACCACCACCACCACCAGTAGCACCCACACCAGTAGCACCCACACCACCACCAGCTGCAGCAGCAGCAGCAGCAGCAGCTGCTACCCCACCTCCCCCTGCCCCCGCCGCCTCAGACCCTCCTGCACTGCTAATCCCACTCACACCACCCCCACCGCCGCTTCCCACACCACCAGCGGCACCAACACCACCACCCCCAGCAGCAAAGGACATGGTGGAGTGGCGGTGGGGGCGCGGCGCAAAGCACGTGGTGTAGGCCTTCTGGCGGCGCGGGCGCGCGAAGAGGCGGATGGTGAGCGACACCGACCCTGCTGCCGTGAACTTGATGGCATTGCCCACTGGTGGCGGGAGGAGCGGGCAGGGGGGAGGGACAGAGGGAGGGGAGGGGGCGGAGGGGGGCGAGGGGGGCGAGGGGGGGCGAGGGGGGGCGAGGGGGGGCGAGGGGGGAAGGGACAGGGAGGGAGAGAGGGGGAGAGGGGGGAAGGGACAGGGAGGGAGAGAGGGCGAGAGGGAAGGAGATGAGATGTGTGTTTCAACACAGGCCAGAAGGCATGGGTGTTACCGACTGGATAGAATCTATTTTTGAGGCGCCTCAAAAATTCAACACAGGCCAGAAGGCACGGGTGTTACCGACTGGATAGGATAGTAGGGGAGAGGGAGGGGGCGGGCGAGGAGGCGGATGGTGAGCAACACAAACCCCGCTGCCAGGAACTTTATGGCTTTGCCCACCGGTGGGGGGAGAGGGGAGGAGAGGGAGAGGGGGGGGGAGGATGGGGGGAGGGGGAGTGGGAGGGGTGGAAGGTTTTGCGGAGGGGGGGGGGGGGGGGAGGTGGGGTTGAGGGTAAGGCAGGCATGGTTGAAGAGATCGGTGATGTTTAGTGGAGGCTCATGGCTCCCCCAGGTGACTTTTGAGTCGACTCAAGAGTCGGCTCACGGCTCCCCCAGGTTGACAATGATCTGCTGCAGGTACGCATCTCCCTGGGGCTCTTCAGCTTGCTGCTCTGCCCTGCAGCCCGGAAAGGAACGGAAGCATGGCGTGCGCAGCCCACCCGCCCATCCACCCACTCACCCACCCACCCACCGCCCTGTACTGTCCAGTCCACCCGTAAGAAGCAACGGCGAGGGCTCACCGAGGTTGATGATGATCTGCTGCAGGCACGCAGCATCCCCCAGCAGCTCCACCCGTTTCGTTCGTTACATCATGCTACACAACAGACCCAAGGGGAAGGAACCAAGGCCTCGGCAGCCAACTCACCCCACCCGCCCCGCCCACCCACCCACCTGTACTGCCCACCCGTACGAAGCAGCGCGCAGGTCTCAGGTCTCACCGAGGTTGATGATGATCTGCTGCAGGCGCGCAGCATCCCCCAGCAGCTCCACCGGCACATCCTCCTCCACCTCCCACGAGAAGTCCAGGTGCTTCTGCACCGCACGCACCTGGACAAACAGGGGGGGGGAGAGAGGGGGAGTGCGTGTGTAGGGTTAGCTGCTATAGCAAGAGAAGCCGACCCCCCCCTCCCCCCCCCTCCTTCGTTCCTTCCTTTAACAACCCTCTCTACCCCGAACCCTCGCTTCCCTCCCCCCCCCCCCCCTGTCAATCCCTCCCTCCCTCCCTGCACTCTCTCTCCCCCCTGCCTCTCCTCCCCCCACCGCCCCCTCTCCCACCCCCCCACCCCCCCTCCTCTCTCACCCGCAGCATCTTCATGGTGCTGACGACCACCCTGATGGCGAACAGCACGCGCAGCAGCGTTGGTGATGCCCAGCAGGCACTCCTCACAATCCCACAATTCCCACACCGCGCTCCCCCCCCCCCACCATTTACTTTCTCCTCACACACCTCCTCCTCCTCTCCCTCTCACCTACAACACACACCTCCCTTCCTCCCTGTCCCTCTCGCACGCCCTCCCCTCCATCGCTCCCGCAACCCTCCTCCTCTCACCTGCAGCATCTTCATGGTGCTGACGACCACGTCCCTGATCGCGAACGGCGCGCGTAGCAGCTGCAGCTGGCCGGCCTCGATGCGCGCGAGGTCGAGCACGGTGTTGGCGATGCCAAGCAGGCACTCCGCAGACTGTGCCACGATCATCAGGTGGTCCTTCAGCTCCGCCATCACCTCGCACTGCCCTGCCGACAGCCCCCCGCCCCCGCTGTCTCCGCCACCGTACGTGCCCAGGCTCTTGCTGTTGTCTACGTCTCCTCCACTGACAGTGGAGGAGTGGAAGGAGTCGAGGGCGTCCAGGGCCAGCGCTGTCATGCCGATGATGCCGTGGATGGGGGTGCTGGGATGGGAGGGGGAGCGGGGGGAGAGAGGGAGGGGATGAGGGGCGGAGGGATGGGAGTGGGGGGGATGGGAGTGGGGGGGATGGGAGTGGGGGGGATGGGAGGGGCATGGCAGAAAGGGAGTTGAGGAGTCCAGGGCGTGGAGGGCCAGTGCGCTGTCGTGCCGATGATGCTGTGGATGGTCGTGCTGGGATGGGAGGAGGGTGGTGGGGGGGAAGAGAGAAAGGAGGCGGCAGGGGAGGCGGGGAGGGAGCGGGGGAAGGGAAAGGGAAGCGCGAGAGGAGGTAGAGGTGTTAGATGTATGTGGTAATGTGATGTGATGCGGGTGGTGGTGATCATATGTAGGCACAAGCAGGTTTACCGCACAGGGTATCATACCACAACACTCATCAGACACCCGAGGAAGCTTTTGAGAATTCTCAAGCGCACTTCAACCCATCGAGCAGCAGCAGCAGCAGGAGCAGCAGCAGCATGACGACAATAAAAAACTCTCACGAGCAACCTTCCAAGTCCCTTCAAATAACGCACCGCACCGCACGCCCACCCCTCACCGCACCCCACCGTCACCGCTGCACCCCAGGGATATCTCGTGGTTCATATCAGCCAGAAATTATGTCCTAGCCCAGCTGGCCTCCTCGGCGTGCTGCTGGCGCATCTGCAGGTCCTCGCTGTACCGCCGGATCTCCTGGCTCACCGGATCTCACTGGCCCATCCCACACCGCATCTCACTGCCCATCCCACACCGCATCTCACTGCCCATCCCACACCGCATCTCACTGCCCATCCCACACCGCATCTCACTGCCCATCCCACACCGCATCTCACTGCTCACTGTATCCCACAGCTCACTCACCGGATCTCGTGGCTCATATTAGCCAGGAACTCGGTCTTAGCCCGGCTGGCCTCCTCGGCGTTCTGCTGGCTCATCTGCAGGTCCTCGTTGTACCGCCGGATCTCCTGTGTGCGGCGGTGCACCTCCTCCTCCAGCGACGCGTTCAGCAGCCGCAGCTCCCGCCGCAGCCGCTTCGTGTCGCGCACCGCCGCTGCTAAGGCCAGCGCTGCCATGGCCTCCACCACTGCGAATAGTTGCACCTGGAGATTGAGGAGGAGAGGGGGAGGGGAGGAGGGAAGAAGGGGAGGAGGGGAGGAGGGAGGCCGGTGAGCAGCAGCAGGGGCTCCCTGCGGAGCCGCGTCGGGTCGCATGTGCACCACTGCTGCCAGGGCCAGCAGTGCCACTGCTTCCACCACGGCAAACAGTTACACCTGGAAGCAGGGTGAGGTGAAGGGGTGAAGGGGTGAAGGGGTGAAGGGGTGAAGGGGCGAGGGGGTGAAGGGGCGAGGGGGTGAAGGGGCGGGGGTGAGGGGTGGTGGGGAACGCGGAGGTGTACTTTCTGAAAAGGGTGTAACAAATCCTACTTGCTCCCTCCCCTCTCCTCCCCTATCCCACCGTTCCTCTCTCTTCCTTCCCCCCCCTCCCCACATACCTGCACCACGGTGTCAACAGCATCTGCTCATATTTTAAAACGTCTCAAAAACTGATCGCCCTCCCCACCCCCATTCCTCCCTCCCCCACCCCCCCACACATACCTGCACCCTGGTGTCAACCGCATCTTATCATAGATTCAAACGTCTCAAAAACAAACCCCCCCTTCCATTCCCCAACCCCCTTCCTTCCTCCTCCCCCCCACACATACCTGCACCCTGGTGTCGACCGCATCTGCTCCCGCCAGCGGCCCGCTGTCATGCGAGGCGGTCACTGATTCAGCCGGCTCAAAACTCCCCCCTTCCATCCCCAACCCCCAATCTCCCTTCCTCTCCCCAACCCCTCCCTCCCCCCCACTCCCCACCAGCACATACCTGCACCATGGTGTCAACAACATCTGCTCGCGCGAGCGGCCCTCTGCCATGCCCCGCGGCCCCTGCCTGCCTGCCACCACTGACTCTTGAGTCCAATAGGAGAACACTCCCCTCCCTGCCCTCCTCTTTCCTCTCTCTCCCCACCAGCGCATACCTGCACCATGGTGTCAACGGCGTCTGCTCGCGCGAGCGGGCCCCTGCCATGTGCGGCGGTGACTCCCCCGACCAGCGCGAGCAGCAGCGCAATGATGTTCACCCCGCGCCGATTGTACTGGAACGCCGCCCACGCGATCCCGGGGAACAGCAGGTACATGAGCGACGCCGTCAGCTGCTCGCTCGCAAACCCGCCAAACAGCACCGCGCACACCGCGGCGTTGATCACCACAAACGCCAACATGCGCCAGGATTGCAGGAGGAAATCGATGCAGGGCGGCAGGCACCACGGCAGCCACCACCGCACCTGCTGCTGCTGCATCCGCTGCTGCTCCCACTGGCTCCGCTGCCACGTGTCCGACCCTCTCCCCGCTGATGTCACCGAGATCTGGACGAACAGCGGCACTACTACTAGCACCCCTATCCCGTCCGCCACTGTGCGGAACAGCCACGCGCCCACGCGGCTGTCTGGCGGTGGGGGGGGGTCGGCTTTGGCGGCGGCGGAGAGGAGCGTGAGGAGCCCCTGGGAGAGCAGCGGCACGAGGAGGACGAGCACGCAGAAGCGGAAGACGTTGGGCGTGCAGTCCAGAGGCGTGCGGTGGCGGCGGTGCGCGCGGAAGATGCGCGCCAGCAGCAGCGCGAGCGCGTGCGTGCCCAGCGTGGAGCAGGCGGCGTCCAGGAACGCGCCCCAGAGCGCGGGGGACGTGGGCATGGCGAGGCGCACCAGGCGGAACCAGAGCGCGAAGGACAGGTACCCCAGGAAGTTGCCGAGAATCACGCGGTGCCCCGCCGCCTGCACGTGTGGGGGAAGGGGGTGGAGGGTTCCGGGGGGGCGGGGGGGCGGGGGGAAGAAAGGGGGGAACGGGGTGTTGGGGGGAATGGAGAACGGAGAGGAAAGAGGAGGGAGGAAGTGTTGAGGCATGGTGGGGAGGAAGGGAGGGAGAGGTATGGCGGGAGAGTCACGGGGGGAGAGGCATCGGGGGAGAGGCATCGGGGAAGAGGCATCGGGGGAGAGGTATGGGGGGGAGAGGTATGCGGGGAGAGGTATGGGGGGAGAGGTATGGGGGGAGAGGTATGGGGGGAGAGGCATGGGGGGGAGAGGGCAGCGGGACGAGGCAGGGGGAGAGAGGTACGGGAGGAAGCGGCAAGAGGTGAGAACTCAGGGGCGAGGCCTGGGTAGGGGGCACCAGGCGCGGGGGCGGGGGGATGGGGGGAGGCAGTGAGAGACATGCGTTGTGGCTGCGCTTACCGTGACGGCGAAGAGCGCGAGGCCGGCGGGGAACCAGATGGGCGCGGGCACGGACGCGCCCATCCAGAACAGCGCGTTCGTGGCGACGCCCAGCCCGAAAAGCAGCGCGCCGAGCAGCAGCACCAGCACCAGCTGCGCCAGCAGCGACGACTCGCGCATGTGCAGCTGCAGCGGCCACACCCGGTCCCGCTGCCTTCCCCCCCCCCCCGACATGCCCCGCCCACCGCGCCCCCCCCCGCCCCGCCCCCGCCGCTGCTGCTGCCGCTGCTGCCGCTGCCGTCAGCGTCGGGATCATCGGAGGAGTCCTCCCCGTCCGAGTGCAGCCGCTCCGACCACATGCCGTGCGCGCGGAACCTGTGGGGCCGCCGCCGCCGCCGCGCCCTGCCGTCCCCGTGCCCGTCATCGTCGTCCATGTCATCGTCCTCACTGTCCACGTCATCATCATCATCATCGTCGTCACTGTTATCGCCCCGGCCACCACGACCACTACCCCCCCGCCACTCCCCGCCCTCCCTTTCCCCCCGCTCTGCTCCCCCCATGCCATCCTCCCCATCGAAAATCACCACACTGCTATCCCCTAAGCTGCTGTCATGGCGCCTGTTCCATCCCCCTGTTCCCCCCCTTCCCCCCTGAAAAGCCTCCGCGCCCCGCTCCCCCAGTATCGCGCGCAGGGCGTCCTGCTTCGACAGCCCCCACACTGCCGTCTTCCCCCCTCCGCCATCCGCGCTCTCCCTTCCGTTTCCGCCTCCCCAACCTCCTCCCCCGCTGCCAGCCCCGTGCCCGCCATCCCCTCGCCGCGCGCCTGCGCTCTCCGCGTCCTGCTCCTCCTCATCCTCCCCCTTGAGCGCAACCACGTGGTCGCTCCAGGTGAGGCGGTGGGGGGTGACGGGGCGCTGCTGCTGCGTTGATTCGGGGGGGGCGGCGGCGGAAGTGGGAGAGACGGCGGAGGCGGAAGGGGGTGCGGAAGGAGGGCGAGCGGCGGAGGATAATTCGAGGCCCGTCCATGCGACGGGTGTAACCACGGGTGCGACATCATGCGACATTGCCACTGCTGGACGATAGGCGCCGAAGCGTTGTTACTGTTACAGTTAGTGTTACTATTACTGCTACTGCTTCTGCTACTGCCACGGCTAATGCTTGCGCTGTTGTTACTGCAACACCCTCGTCGATTAGCCTTCAGAGTGAAATCTCCTGCTATCGCGACAAGTGTCAATCCGCGTTAACTGCTTGCGAAACGACAACGAACCCGCTGCCATTAAACTACCCGCGCGACTGCTAGAGCAGCTGCTGCTTGAAAAATACCTGCTCAAATTAGACCCGCACTAGGGTAAATGGTCCCCGCTCCGCACTCCACGCCGCCGACTTGCAACCTTCCCTGCTCCGCGCCCTTCTCTCTTCGCGCTCTGCTCCACTCTCTCTTCCCGTCTCTTCCGCTAAGAACCTCCCTTTCCCTCTCCAGTTACCCATCTTCCGTCTAGGCCCGGCTGCTCTCTGCACGAGCGCACTACCGACTAGTCCTCATTCTTTCCATAACAAGTCTCCGACTCCCCTTGCAAGACCTGTTTCGAGCTCCATCGTCAGCAGCCAAGGTGTAAGCAGGCGAAACGATAGCTCATCGCGGCAAGCACGGACAGCGGCAATTTACTGCACTGCACTCCAGTGCTCTTCACTGTTCTTCACGGCGTGGATACCCGGGGTGACTCGCCTGATTGTGGCTTGCGGAGCTGATTTAGGACCTAACTAGTCCGGCTCACGCGGAAACAGCCTCGCATAACGTCAGTCCGTCGTAGGTGTGTGTGTGTGTGGTGGTGGTGGTTCGTGAACGCAAGGTTGAAGAAACCAGTTGCATTCTGACAACCCTTGTCACTGCTTGTGCTGCTGCTGCCGTTTTGTTGCATCAATTGTGGGGGGGGGGGGTGGCAGGTTGGAACTTGGAACTCTGGAACTAGAACTTGGTTCGAGGGGGGAGGGAGAGGGAGACTTTTTGTGTGTTGTCGTGCCCGTGTTCGTGCCCGTGCTCTGTAGTTGGAACTAGAATTTAGTTCCAGGGGGGAGAGAGAGGGAGAGTTTTTGACTGTCGCTCGCTTCCCTGCTGCCACACTGGTTGACGGGTAGAAGGCCAAGTAGACGGTTGCGACTATTGCGACACAAACCTGCCGTCGTGGCGGTTACATGCCGTCGGGATGAAATATCGCGGTTACTGTAGAGAGCTAGAAAGCAAAGCTGAGCTGAGCAGCACCCCAGCGGCAAGGGCAAACGACATGTGAGTTTCGCTACACGTGTACGATAGGCAGAGCGAATCAAACGAGCCACGTTTCGAGGCATTCGCCAGAGCGTGGGGGAGGCGCACATAGTGTCACGTTCTCAGTCCGTCGCTGCAGCAAATGGTCTGCGTGAGGGCAAACACGGAACGTGGTAGGCTCATCCAAGGCCCGCTGCAATTGGCTGCGAAGTTTGAGAAGATTCACTTACATGTAACTCCAAAAAAAATGCATACAATACTTGCTTATCGCATAGAATGAGAAGGGATGCAACACGTCACTATGGAATAAGATGAGCCAAAGCTCACCTACTGATGTTGCGCTGCAACAGCGACTACGACATGTTTACGGTATGTGTTATTGAGCTTACCACTTCCAACACCTATTCATCTATGAAATATCCAGCAAAGCTAAGTGGCAATGTGAATCTGCATGGATGGAACATCTATATAGCGGTTTGAGTACAAAATATTTCCTCAACCACATTTCGTATGCTTTACAAAGGTAGAAGCTGCTTCTTCAGATTCTCTCCATAAGCAGCGATGGTGCAGAGTCAAGTCCACTAGAGTGTACAGCCCAGTAGTCAGAGAAGGGGGGAAGGATGGAGGGAGAGGAGTGGAAGGGGTAAGTGGAATTAGGGGGGACATGATGAAGAGCCAAGCCGAGCATTGGAATGTAAGACAAGGAAATAGGAAATCTCCAAGTGGACATGAAAGAAAGACCGGCAGCCATGAGGGGACAGGGTAGACAGAGCATACAGGAATTAAAAGCATTAGCTTTTTTTCTCGTTGGAGATCCCAACTGCAACATTTGTCACCTGCAATACAGCACAAGCAACGGACGTGGAAAAGAACCAGAGGGCATATCAGGCACTAGACCCAAGACGAGAGGCAGACGGGTCCTAGCTTGAGCTGGAATACGAAAGCTGAGGAAGCCAGGAATGAAAAGCAAAGCAAGCAGGCAAGGGTTCACTGAAGAAACGACGCAGAGCCAACATAGTACAGACAGGAACTTCAACCTAGAATATCGGTCAGGAACATGCTCATACCAGCTTGCCGGTATCGTCCATTGTCATGGGATTTTCAACCACCACTGTGCGGCTGCTGGTGGTGCTCTGTGCTGGCGCCACCTGTGCCGGCTGTGCGGGCGGTGGGGCGTACTGCCTTTGTTGCACTGGCAGGGGGCGCAACGACGAACCGACCTGGGGGGAGACGAAGCGGGGGGGAGAAGGCGGGGCCAGATTGACGGCATGAGCGTTGGCATGGTGAGCATTTTGGGGAACTGGGAAAGTATACGAGGACAAGGGGATGTAAAGGGGCAGTGGGATCAGCAACAGGCAAGAAGCACAGCCCCAGCCCCATAGGGACATTGTGACAACATTCGACTATCAATGGCAGCTACGCATGTTTAAGTCAAATTTTGGGGGGAAGAAGGAAGAGACGGGAACAACAAAGTAAACAACGGGTGAGGGGAGAATGGGTGGGATGAGATGGTGAGGGGCGGGAAGAGCCTCACTTGTGTGACGAACTGGCAGACAGCGCACTTTACACTCTGAGCGCCATACGCATACATGAGCGTCATACCACAACCACCACAATTGACGTGCGCCACTTGACTTGCTGACGAGAGTGCAGGTCGGTGCGATAAAAAGGGGGGGGGGGGGACACAGGCGACGATTGGGGGCACAAGGAGAGGAAACAATGCGGATGAGCATAGAAGCATCGGCATACACGGGATCAGGGAGCATGGGAGATGGTACCAGGAGCAGGGTAAATACAAGAAAAAAAAAGGATTGTACATGAGTGAGGCAGGGCCAAGGCACTGACAGAAACAGGTGGAACTGCTGCCTGGGAGGTGATGAGACGTGCAGAAAGGCGATGGTAAGGCGGGTAGAGCGAGACAAGGGAGGGCTCACTCACATTCCATGGATAGGTTGACAGTGTGGCAGCAGGAGCACTGTACACTGGTGGCCCCCCGCACATACATGAGCAGAGTCCGACAGCCACCGCACACCAGCTGAGCCATCTCCGTGCCTGCGAGCCGTATTGGGGTTGAGGAGGGGAACTGAGAAAAGCCAAGGGGCGAATCCGGACAAGCAAAAGTAACTGGTGAAGGGGACCCGCGAGAGGGAAGGCGGGAGGAGGGGGGGGGGGGGGGGGGGGGGGGGGCGGGGCGAGGGGAAGGTGGGAGGGAGGGGAACACAGAAATGGTAAGGACCCAAAGTGGGGGGCAGAGGAGGCGTGAGCGCCGGTGGAATGGGCGAGACAGGCGCTGTAGGGAGGGAAGGAGGACTTACCAGCGGGTGGCACGGGCGTGATGGTGCTGCACAGCGCACAACGCACGTTGGAGGCGTTATTGGGATACACCAGTAGTGTGCGGCACCCCGTACACACTATCTGACTCTGCGCCGCTGCACGCAAGGCAACCACGCAGGGAAACGACGAAGAACGGAGAAAGGACCGCGCGAAGGGAGGAAACGGACGAGGGAGACGATAAAGGTACTGGTTGGAAAGCCTGGACATCACGACCAGATATGGGGGAACCAAGCGGAGGAGAAATGCCATGGAGGATAGAGAGAGCAGAAGATAGCAACGCGAGGGATGAACAGGAATGACCAGGGACATCACGGGAGGCACGGACCCATGTGCGATACCCTACATCCACCCATCGACGTCTATTTCGGCAACAGCCCTTATTCTCCCGCTTCGTTATATAGGACTCTAGTGTCACCCCCAACCCAATCCGTTTCTCTTGCCCTTCGCCCACAATCGCCCACTTGCTCTTCTCTCTCTTTCCCGCTCTCACATTTCTTCCTACTCTCCCTTCATCGCGTTTGTTCTCTTGCCCCATCTTGCCACAGCGCCAATGGCTCTCTCATCGTCTCCTCCCCAACACTCATCCATTCCTAACCACCCGGGAAGAATGGGCCTCTCCGAATCTGTAGATGCGAATACATTCTATCCACCATTCTCACCATGAGTAGCCCTTTTCCAACGCGCCGCATGGCATCAATACAAGTGAAGGGCACTTGCAATCCCCGTCATTGACCTCCCCACCAGTAACAAACGACACCATGGATATTCGCCATCCATTAACAACATCGTAAAAACAACCTAAACCACCCGGCGCTCCCCGCATCTTCTCTCTTCCAACCCCCGTCTCACTAACCTTGAGGCGTCATGTGAACCGGGCCCGACGCCGCTTGTGGATACGGCATAAGGGGCGAAGGCTGCATCATGGGCTGGGGAACAGGCGCTGGTGCGATGGGAAGGGGATTGGATGAGCCAGGCGACTGGAATTGAGGCGAGGATGACGATCGGCCTATACTCCCATTAGCTGTTGCTGCCGTGCTGGTTGGAGCTGCCATAAGGCTCTTGTCGGATGCAGAGGGACCCTGGATGTACGAGGTGGCAAGTCTGCTGGATGAGTTCGGTTAGCCTTTAACCCTCCGTCCTTCAGTCCCTCGACAATCTATTTCTGGTTCCACCGAATGCCTTCTCCCTCTCCCCCTCCGCCTGTCGTCCCTCGGGATCCGCGTTGCCGAAGTCGCTAATCTTCAGTCGGCTTCTGTCGATTTTTTTGGTTGAATGTCGAGGTCGGAAGTTTTGGAACGATTGGAGCACGAGAAAAATATGTTGTGACTAGGGAATAACTGGCTCGTTCGTCGCAGCTTTATGAATCGATGGACTAAGGCCTAAGGTGCAAGTTAAATTGAACCAAAGAGCCTAATACGAATCCAACTAAGGGACAGGAGATGTGTGATTAGAACGGATTTAAATGGATACTTTCGATGGATCGAAGGCCATGATAGCTATTCTTTCGGAGCGAGGTGCTCCGTCACTGCAGAACTACGGCAAGGTTCTTTTCTAAAGCTGGCAGCGACACGACCACACCGAGTTCCTGAAGATAGCAGACACTAACAACTGTAGCTGCTTATCGGGAATCGTAACTTAAATTGTCGCTAGCCTAAGACGTTCCTACAACGATGTTCCCACGGCAACTATTTATTAGGGAACAGACAGCCTGCCTTGATGCAATCGGAATAGTATAACAGAGACGGGAGATTTGACAGACCCGTGGACCGATCTAGACGCTGGACGTTTTGCGTTTGACATGGGAATGCATGGAGAACATTCTTGAGGACGGTGGATTTGTACGGCGGGGATTGATTGACTGCTTCCTTAGAAACGATGGACGGAGCAGATACGGCATGTGAAGTCTATTTTCTTTCCATCAGTTCTTCCTCCCAACCAGCTCTGACTTCCAATTCAGGGGTTTGGAAATTTGGAAATCTCCTCTGTCCATCCTTGCATCCAATCTCGTCACCTCCACACTGCATGCGGAAAAGAGAAGCGGGGCGTTCTCCGCCAATATTTACACGTGACAGGGGGTGGGGCAAAAGACTCGAAATCTCTCGAGGAAACTGACGAATGGCTGTGGGTTTGGCGGGAGACTATCCCGTTAGTGTCAAGTGAGGCGATGCGACAGGGGGGACATGGCAGGGAGGGAGTGAGGGCAGTTTGAAAGTCCCTTGTGGCTAGGGTCTTTATGCCCGCGTGGACGCAGAAGGGCGTGGAGGGATGCCTTTTCCTGGGCCAGGATGAATTTCCGTGCCAGCAGTGCCATATGTGTGGCTCACGTGTCAACAATATTGACGATTCACGTGGCAGGCCACCTCGTGCGTCACTGGTGTTGCTCGCGATATTCCCGAGGTGAGGTGGACCAGCGATTCCCCCTAACACCAGAACGCAAGCGAAATGCAAGGAAGGTGTCTTCGACATTTGTTCCAATATCGTTTTGCACCGCTCCAAAAATCGGTACCATACTTAGGCTTGTTATACCCTAAACTACCTTGTCCTCATTTTTAGCATGTAGACATAAAATTAAACATATTTATATATACTTGTATCATCCGCAGAAACTACTGAGCTCTTTTAAGCGTTGGTATCCTTTGTTTATACTGACTTACATTTCCTGGCTTCAACCTGAGAAGTGCTAGTAAAGGGTTTTGTTGGCACTTCAACCAAAACCATATCAGTGTGGTTTCAAAACTCGACTCCAAACCGCAGCTTTCACGAACTGCACCGTTGTATCGAAACCCAAGCACAGACCCCGTAATTGCCGTAGCGAGCAAGAGGGGCCGGGCGAAGGTGGCACAAGCGCAAACTCGTTGATTCGATCCTCTTTTCCTCGCCACGCGCCATGGCCGTGACGAACTCCTCTAAACCGAAACCGGCAGCGGCGGCTCCCGCGGATGCTGCGGGAGCGGCATCGGCGCCGTCAAACCCGTTTTTAGAGCTCTGCATCCACGTGGAAAAGCCCAGACCGTACGATCGCGTGCTCCTCGTACGTAAAGCAGCACCCTCTTCCTTGCTTGCAGGAGCCCCCCGCGCGGGTGCCGGGGGCGGCGGAGAGGGAGAGCAGGCGGACGGGAAAGGGGGGGAGGCGGAAGCGGAGTGGGGAGAGCAGGGGCAGGAGGCGCAAGAAGCGGAGGGGGCGGGAAGGGGGAGCGAGGCTGGCCGGGCGCTGGAGGTGCACGGCCTACCGTGCCGTTGGCGAAACGAGCGAAAGCTGCGTGCCATGTTTGCGAAGTTTGGCGACGTATCGCATGTGGTTGTGCAAGGGGACGAGGCGGAGGACAGCAGGTGAAACACGAAACACCCGGGTTTCGCGGGGAGGCGGAGAAAGGAGGGGCTTGGGGGTTTGGGGTTTTGGACAGGCACAGGATTCGCGGTAGCGGGTGTTAGGGGTTCGGGTTTCGGGTTTTGAAGTGGATTTTCATTTTAGGTATTGGGTTTGAGCACTTGGAGGTTGGTCATTTCGTGGTAGTGAAGGGGTTTTCGTCACTATGCCTATCACAGAGGTTTCCTGTGACAGGGACGCCCTTCGCTGCGTCCCTCTCTGTCTCTCTCTCTGCGCCAAGACTCCCTGCGCTGTGACTCCCCGCTCTCTGTCTCCGCACGCTGTGCCCGCCGTGTATCTTTCAACCTGACTGCTTTCTCTCCTCGCTCACCTCTCCCACCGCTCACTTTCTAACTCCGCTGCTCTTCCTCCCCCCCCCTCCCCCACCCCTCTTCCCCCCCGTCCCACCCCCCTTCCCTTTCCTTTCCCCCCTCTCTTCGCCCTCTTTCCGTTCCTTCCCCTTTGCTTGCCTCCCGTTCCTCTCGCACCCGGCTTTCCGTCCATTCCTCCATTCCGTTCGATTCTAGGCCGCAGCATTGGCAGCACCATCCCGCCGCCATTCCCACCGCCATAGTAGTCTTCGCACGGCCAGAGTCCCTCCGGCGCCTCTTAAAGACCGCGTCCCAGTCCGCGTCCCCCAAGCCGTCTCTTAAATCCAAGGCCAAGTCTAAGGCGACTATTACCGATTCCGACCTACCGACACAGGATGGGGAGGCGGAAGGGAAGGGGGAGGCGGAAGGGGAAGGGGAGGCGGAGGGGGAAGAGGCGCAGCAGCCCCTGTGGCCTGCATGGGGAATGGAAGGTGCGCAGCTTTTGTGCATAGGTAGCTTAGCTTGCACCCTTTTTTCCCAGTTGCTCAAACGCATTGCCACGTATGGTACCACTTGGCTGGCCACCTACTGCCTCTCAACCCAACCAGTTTTCCCCCATTATCCTGTGTCTTCTTTGCTTCCTCTTCGTTTCGTCCTCGTCTTTCTCTTCGTTTCGTCTTCGTTTCTCTTTGCCGGTCCCCCTGTCCCCTCGAGTTTCTGTTTTGTCCGATATGCTCCTTCCTACTTCCTGGCTTATCCTCCCATCCCATCCCCCCTGTACGCCTCTCACCGCCTTTCTTTCAGGATGGTTGAATGCATATGCAGATCAACGGCCAGGATTGGCGCATCTGCAGGCTGAGGCAGATGCTTACATCAGCGAGTACGAGGACAGGCTTGAGAGGGTGCGTGCTGAGATCCTTATCTTCCTTAAAAGAATGAAAAATATTTAACAGTACCATTGTTGCAGCAACACTATCTCCCCTTCAGCCTCTCTTGGTACTCGTCCCATTTTGCTCACTGCACACTCGCTCCATTATCTCTTCCCACACCACGTTTCTCCGTCCCTGGGATTGCCCCATCCGTTTCCACACTCCCTGTTTGTTCAGTGCATTACTTTGCCGTGCTTCAACATTTCATTGCTCCCCCCCCACCCACCAACCTTCGGTTGCTGCCTCCTTCCTTGTGTCCTTCCCACTTTCTATCCCACTCCCACCCCCTCCCTCCCTCTCCCTTTCCCTCTTTCCCTTCAATCCAGGAGCGCCGTGAGGCGGAGGAGAGAGCACGCAGGTCGCAAGAGGAGGACGGCTGGACTGTGGTGCGTTCGACCTCTGCATCTCGCCGCAATCGCGACCCGTCTTCCGGGGTCTCCATGGGGGTCATCTCCAAGGCACGCGCTCAGTTCCTGGGAGCCAAGCTGCAGCAGAAGCAGAAGAAGCAGCAGGCTGCAGCAGCTGAAGCCCTCAAGTTCTACCGCTTCCAGCACAGAGAGGCGCGGAGGCAAGGTGAGGGGAGGAGACAGGGTGATGAGGAGGCAAGGTAGGGGAGGAGGCAAGGTGAGTAGTAGGCAATGCGAGGAAGACATGACACTGAGGGACAGTGACAGAAGTTGTTTGCAACTTTGCTTCCCACCTCCTCCACCACCCCTCACTCCCTCTCCCCTCCTATCCCCCACCCTCCCTTCCATGCTCTGTGGCGTTTTCTTATCTCTTGCCCTTTCTTAATGCAACTGGAGACGTCTTATGCTCGCATGTTAAAGCCTTCTTTTGTCACTGCCTTTCCTGAGAGCCCTTTTCCTGATCCCGGACTGTAAAATTGCAGAGCTTATGGATCTCCAGAAGAAGTTTGACAGCGATCGCAAGCGCATTGCCAAGCTTCGAGACGCTCGCAAGTTTCGTCCGTACTAACTGCAGCCTTCTACCTGTATTCTGTTGAGCCTTGAACAGTGACTGTATTTGTATCTGTAGAACGATTAGGAATTGGGAAGGTGTGGCTGCTTCAAATGCAGTGTTAGTAGTGGCTGGGCCATGTTTTAGTCCTTACCAGCTATGAAGTGGCTGGGCCATGTTTCCGTGACTTTGGTCGGTGAAATGCTGCAATGGGCTTGGGGAAATGGTGTACAGCAGTTACTACTAGTGTGTTCTATTGTATCTACCAATAGGAGTCTGCTTGGTGTCAAGCTTTTCATTCGACTATCAGTAAACACCTACATACGGTACTATACAGAAGTTAGCTACCACTACTACCTGTGTGGGTTGTTGGCTGGCTGGTGCACCTGAGCCAACTTTACCCTTATTCCACACTACTGGGTCAGCATATCAATGAAACTACTGCAGCTTGGACACTCCTAACGAATGGCGGTGCTGTGAACTTCTTAAGGCCACAATCGAGCTTGTCTTTGAAACTTTCTTCACCTTGCAGATGTTGATGATATCAATGGTTGGCGGACACCGATGACCGATGAACGGCGCCCCGGAGTTCGCCCAAGTGGTTCAGACTTGAACACGGATAGTTCCTTCTCAAGCATGGTGATCTCTCGACGAGCCTTCTTGGTCTCCACATCCATAGCCTTTGACAGCGTCTCCACCTTCTTCGACAGCATCTGCAACACAGAAAAGTGTGTGAGGAATGCCAAACTGGTGGTTACAATTTCACTCAACAAGCAGAAACACTTGCCTCGATTGCATCATCCTTGTCCTTCAGACTCTGTTCCCTTTCAGAAACAGTCTTCCTCAACACAACCACCTCCCGTTGCATCACGTCATACAGTGCTCCAGGGACCTTGTCATCCTCGTCAGCTCGTTTTGGACTTGGCTGGTAATCGATCTCGGGAATCGGCTCGTGGTCCGACGACGTGGTGCTCATGCGTTCAGGGTCAACATTGAGGGGGACAACTTGCTTGGGAAGCTTCAAGGTTGAGGATGAGAGCGAGAGCCTGCCGGGTGACATCCTGCCAGTTAGCGAGGACCTCAGTGGTACACCAAGCTTGAAGCACTCTTCCAGAACTTTAAGTCTCGTCTGGGACTTTTCCTGTGCCAATCAAACCAAAGAATCGTCAGAAGGTATGAACAGCAACATTACAATGGGAAGGCATTTAAAAAAGCACACACCTTCATCTGTGCTTCATACTTCGCTGCACGTTCCGCGTGAGCCAGCTTCTCCTTAAGCTTTTCCGCCTCTCCCTGCAGAAGCAAGACATATCAATCATCATTTGAGCACAGATGGAAGCTTGTTCGACCAAGGCAAACGAGCAGCCCGCCCATACGTACCACCATAACGCGCCTCTCCTCAAGCCACTGCTTTACGGGAATAACCTTGTCATTGTCATCCTTCCATTCGTTAGCAACAGCAGAAGCAACGCGGGTTGCTGCAATCTTGGCGCGAGCCAGCTCGTCTAAGGTGATCTTGTGGGTGGCCTGGAAACACAGCAGTACAGCATGTAAGACATTGCATGCAATAGGCATTCTGTGAAGGGAAGAGCCTACAATATTCACCTGCAACTCCAACAGTTGTCGCTGGTAGTCCTTGATAACACTTGTATAACCCTGGGCAGCAGTCACGGCCTCGTTGAGAGAGTCAACTTGAGACGTAAGCTTCTTTACTTCGTCCACCTTCTGCTTGAACATGCGGTCTAGCGTCTTGTTCTCATCCTGCATATAAGATGCGCAATTAACTAAGGTCTCAACAGGAAAAACGAATGCTGCAAATCAAAAGTAGTATAGTGCTAACCTGCTGTGCATTGAGCTGGCGAGTCAACTCAGCAATCTTATTCATGCATTCATCCACTTGAGCTGCTTTTGCATTTGCAGCCTCCACAGCCTTCTCAGCGTCAAGGAGAGCAGCTTCTTTAGTACGCATGAGACGATCCTGAGCCCTGTTGTCCTCTTGCAGTCTCGAAACCTGTTCAATGACACAGTTTGTTGTCAGCTCTGTGCGTGCAAGTGTGATCGGTTCCTTGAAACCTGCAATTCCTCACCTCTTTCTGCGACAGCTTCAACTCCGCTTCCAGTGCAGCAATCACTTCGTCCAAAGCCGGGCCCTGCTTCCCTTTTTGAGCAGCTTGCAGGCGCCTAACCGTGGCTTCAGCTGCCTGCTGCGCAGCCTGAGCAGCTTTACGCATATCGTTGGACTTCTTCAGCTCAAGGGTCTGAAATAATCAGGTCAATCAGATAAGTTAGTTATGAAATACAAGCGTATGGTGTTAAAAATACGAGCAATAAGTCATTTCACACCTTAGCGTCTGACTGCTGCTCCGCAGTTTCCAACTTCTGCTTCAATTTCGCAACCTCGTCGGTGAGCTGAAAAGGGAAAACATGAAGTCAGTTAGTGCATAAGCACTGTAAAACAAACAAGATGTAATAGAGAGAGTCTTACCCCATATACAGCCTTTTCCATCGACTTATTCAAAAGCTTCAAGCCTTTCGCCTCTGCTGCGATCTTCTCGAGTTCCAAGCTCTTGACTGTTCCACACGCAAGAGAGAAAGAAGTTGTTAGACTAATCAATGACAATCATTCCGCCTTCGCAACATAAAAGACTCCCTACGGCTAACTTACCTTTCAGCTCATTCTCCAAGCGATCTGTCTCCAGCTTTAGCGGGTTCGACGCATAGTTCTGGATGTTCGAGTTCTTGTCATCCTGGCCTTTAACAAACAGTGTCCTAGGCTTCACGCCATTCGTAGATCGTAAAGGAGACTTTCGAGAAAGCAACGGAGACTGTGCTGGGGTTCTCGTCACCAGAGGGGATGATGTTCTGGATTTGTTTCGTGACGGGCTTGCTTCAGCACGGCTCGGTTCAGGTTTGGATGCCATGGCGCAAGGAGGCTGAAGTGAGGAAGACGGCAGACCAACTAAGTCATCGCAAATAAACTGGCTGTGGTCTACTCTGGAAGCAAAAGCATTGATTGTGCAACGAAAGCCTTTTCTATGGGATTGGAGAAGATGCCAGAACAGGCGAACCCCACGGGGTCCACCTGGGCCAAAACCAGCCCATAACAACCCACACAGCGTGAGCAGCAGCGACCCGCGTCTGACACATTTGAAACACCAGGATTCTGCAACTTCCTGACACGCACGCAACGGTCGAGCCATCCAACAACGACCCACGTCTCGTCGTGTGGAGGGGGTTTGAAAACTCTTCGTTCATCGCGAATCTCGGTCGTGCAAGAATGCACGAAGTCTTGCGATTCTGGTTACCAAATCATTGCAGTTTGATTCGTCGAGATGAGGCATCAGGACCGCCAGCACTTCGCTCCCCAATGCTCGGTATCCGCTTGAAGGTAATTGGGAGGAGTGGCACACAAAGCTTAGGAGCAGAATTACGTGCATTTCCATGTTAGTCATGATATACAAATGGTAACAACATGCAAGTCTGGAATGTATACCTAGACATTTGACGTATATACCTAGACATTTTACATCAATAGATCAAAGAGTATGTATTTCCTTCTCTACCTGTCAACGAAAATACATTAGTATTACAAAATTACATATTTTGATCACACTAGTATGATACAGATCGAATGTCTCATTTATCCAAAGCCCATATTAAAATCATTTAATTAAAAAACCTGTCTTTTAAGGCCATACGGATTTGTAACCAATCTTGTTAGACCAACACATCCCATAATATGAGCTATTTTGATCTCCATGGAAAGAGAACTGTTGATTGGGAATTATTCTAATGGCAGGTGAACGAAAGCACCTGGAGGGGGTTAATTGCTTTAGGGGTTCGGGTTTCTCGCCACAGATCCTTCAGGTTTTCCAGGTGATCCTTTTATGTCAGCCCACAAGCCGCCTCCTGCAACATAAACCAACCGACGTACCACAGCCTCGTCGTCTCGTCGCACTAAACCTGATAACACCTGCGCCGCTTGCACTTCGAGGTCTCACAGGCGGGATGGTTCAGAAGGGGCAGCAGTTCAAAGGCCTGCAGAAGCGGAAATCCGCTGCACCCAACCGGCATGGGAAGCAGATCAAAATCCGAAAAGGTTAGCAGTTAAATACCATGTTCGCGTTTTTTAATGTCTCCGACGTCCGTTCTACCTTGTTAGTTCTATCCATTTGCATTTCTTCAGCCATCGCTGCGACTTGAATGTCCGCCTTCCACTTATACTCGCATTATTGTTTGATTTGTTTCTTTCCCCTTGATTCCATGGCGACTGCTTTATGTGCATCGCAGGGAGGGTTGTTAAAGCGACTAAGAAGCAGAGCTCCGAAATCGACGCCAGCAAGGTACAACCCCCGGGCCCCAGCCGAGCCACAACAGCTTCATTAACAGTTTCTGGGTTTCAGGTGCTCAAAAAACGGCACGACAGCACGAGATAGGTTGATAACAAGGGCCCCTTCCCCGCTCACCCTCCTCCTTCCGTCCTCCTCTTCCGAAATTTGACCTCCCCCCTGTCTACATACACCCCCTCTCTTCTCCTGATGTCCACCAGGAGGTGACTAAGTTCATCAACGCGGCGAACGAGTCTCGCGCGGCTGCAGTGGCCGTGAGAGACGGAGCCACGCTTTCGCTCGTCAAGCCCCCGCCTCCGGATCCTGCTGAAGCGGAGAGCAAGAAAGGACCGGGCAAGGGGAAGGTGCTTCTGGGGAAGGCGAAGCCTGTGGGCAAGAAGAAATGAAGTGTCGGAGGGGGGGGGGGGGGGAAGGAGGAAGGGTGCTTGCGTGGTGGTTGGATGGTCATGTGGAGGGACAGGAAGGAATGCAAGAGTTGAGTTGATTAGGAGTCCTGGGGGGAGAAGGAAAGGCAGTTGGGCGAAACGAGTGGGAGGAAAGGTGGTGGGAGTTCAAGGGGGGGAAGCATGTAAGCTGTGGTGCTGTTCTTTGGTCCAGTGAAGAAGGAGCGATGGTGTGAAGGAGGGGGCTGGGGGCTTCTACCCTGGCTACAAGGCTGTTGCGATTCTGCTTCACCTCCTGGTTTCGGCGATTACTTGTAATCTACAAAGATGCAGCGGCACGCTTTAGCCCTCACCAGCACCTCTTCTTGCATGGATCAGGAGGGGAGGGGCAGCTGAGCTGACCTGGTTCCAGCTTGCCTGCAGCTGTATGGTGGCCTGACTCTGGAGTCCGGATTGGATGATTACAGTGGGCATGACTGGCATGACAAGAATAGTCAACCGTGCCAGGGGTGTCTAGTTCTCCTGTGTATACTACGGGGTGTGTATAGCAGTAGGAGTAATCACCCGCTCGTCTAATATCTGGGTCCAAATGGAGGAGCCAAGTGAAGCCTAGATGGTGGCTAGCTGTGCTTTCGGCACTACACAATGCTCACACCCTAGCCTTTTACTATGCCGGTCTACTCTATTGGGGTTTGAAATAGATGCATGTATGTATACTCTCTTCCAACTCACAAAGCATTTCCAATTTCCAGATGTGCAATAATCTCATCAGCAGCACTCTCTACACCTCCTATGATCCCCCTCAGAATGGCACCGGCAGGGGGGCATACACAAGCACGCTGAGCACAAGCGCTGCCGCGCCCAGGATCTTTGCCTGGTTGGAGGCCGGGGTGATTTCATTGGCCTGCGGGGTGACAGGCCCGCGCTGCAGGAAGAGGATGAGCACCACCCAGAAGAGCGCCACGTCGTTGAAGATGCCTGTGATGCCCAGCAGAATGAGCGATGCCAGTGACAAGCGCGATGCCCACTGGGGGAGGGCGCAGGGGGAGAGGAGCAGAAGGAGCAGAAGGGGAGCCAATGGTGGGTTTTGAGATGGCTGGAAAGGAAGACAAATTAAGCCTTGCGAAAAGGTACGTATGTTGGCTCAGAAAGAGAGCGCCACTTCGTTGAAGATGCCTGTGATGCCCAGCAGGATGAGCGACGCTAGGGACACGCGCGACGCCCACTGGGGGAGAGGGCAGGTGCGGGCAGGAAGGGGGAATGGGTGTGTGGGGGCCCGAGAGTGGATTTGATCGCCTCTTGATGCTTGTGAAAGTGTATGTATGTCGTCCCAAAACGAGTAGGCTAGCTCCACGTCGTTGGATATGCCTGTGATGCTCAGCAGGATGAGCGACGCCAGGGACACGCACGACGCCCACTGGGGGGGAAGGGAAATGGGGTTAGGATGTTAGATCTTTGGAAGGGGAGTGAGAGAGGAGAGCATGTGGGGCGGGATGAGGGAGGTTGGGAGATTGCTTGGGGTCGTCATTCGGAGCTTTCATAACACAGGGGCAAAGTGCACTTACAAAGACACGCCGAGAACGGAGACGCGGCAGGCAGTTGACTGACAGCACTGCAGCACTCACCTTCCTGCCAAACAGCCCCATGGCGATTCTCCCCCCGTCCAGCTCGCCCGCAGGGATGCAGTTGATGGCGTTCACGAGCAGCGCCGACCACGCAGCCAGGGTCACCGGGGACAGCGTCAGCGACGCCCCCTCGGTCAGCTGCGGCCCCAGAAGCAGCTTGGCTGGAAGGGGAGGAAGGACCGGGGAGGCAGGTGGGTAGGTGGGTAGGTGACGGATGGAAGCATATTCGGATGTGGCAGAAGTTTCAGACCTCCATTGTTCAGCCGTCCAGCTCCCTTGCTGAAGGGCACATGATGGCGTGCACGCGCAGCACAGGTCGGTAAATGCTGCCTGATTCAGGGGCACAGCGTCAGCGATGCGCCCTCTGTCAGCTGCGGCCCCAGAAGCAGCTCGCCGGGAAGGGGAGGAAGGACGGGGGAGGGGTGAGGGGGATGGAAGCGGGAGCCGGTGTGGGGATGGGTGGGGGGGGAAGGAGGAGGAAGAGTACAGGGATGGGGCTGAGACACACGGCGGAGGGCGGCGAGTTCAGCAATGACTGAAATTGCTGATCACACCAGCCATCTGAAATCTGAAATAGACTCTGCGCAGCCCCCCCACGAGCACCGAGTCATGGAACGCCGCGGCGTTGGCAGGGGTGGATGCCTCTTGAGTCGATTAAAAAATGCCCGACTCCCTGAGCTACCCTGAGAGACCCTCACTCACCCAGCCTGCCCACGAGCACAGTCATGGAACGCCGCAGCATTATCAGGGATTCGTTAAGTTGATTGAAAAGCCTGACTCCCTGAGATACCCTGAGCAGCTCTCATTCACCGAGCCCGCCCACGAGCACCGAGTCATGGAACGCCGCGGCGTTGAAAGGGACGCTGTCCTCCGGGCGCAGCAGCAGCAGCGACAGCGCAAGCACCACCAGCGAATGCTGTTTCCTACAAGCCGTCTGAAACATACCCTGAGAGGCTCTCACTCACCGAGCCCGCCCACGAGCACCGAGTCATGGAACGCCGCGGCGTTGACGGGGATGCCATCCTCCGGGCGCAGCAGCAGCAGCGACAGCGCAAGCACCACCAGGGACGCCGCCATGCCCGCCAGTGGCCCCGGCGCTGCCACCGTCACGAGGTCGCTGCGGCTCTGCACCGTCGATGTGATGCGTGTTACTGCTCCAAAGCTGCCCAGCTGGCGCGAGGAGAAAGGGGAGGGTAGGGGGGAGGAAGGGGGCAAGGGGGGAAGAGATTAAGGTGTGACAGGCGGCGAGAGTCGGGGGAAAAGCGGGTACTGAGACGCAGAGGCCATAGCTGGCAGTGCCGCGAGGAGGTCGTTGTGACTGTCCAAGTCAAAGTTCATGGGCGGGCACTGTCACCAAGAGTTACCGTAGCTCAGGTAGAGGAGGGAGGATGTTTGAAAACGAGGAAAGGGACGGAGGGACGGAGGGAGCGATGGAGGGGAGAAAGGGAGGGAGGGAGAGATGGAGGGATGGAGGGAGGGAGAGAGGGAGGGAGGGAGGGAGGGAGGGAGGGAGGGAGGAAGGTAGGGAGAGGGTGTGGCACAAACAGGGGCGGAGAGAGTGCAGAATGCAGAGGGCAGTAGGTGTTCAGAGCACCCACCTACCCCGAATTCCAGGCTGTTACCTGCCAGGAGGGCACGAAGTAGGGCACGGAGAGGGAGACGCCGAGCTGCTTGGCGGGGATGGCGTGGCCCGCCTCGTGCACCGCCATGAGCAGCGTGAACACCGCCGCCGCTGGCAGCCCCTCCAGCAGCGGACCCGTGAGGTACTCCGTGGATGGACTGGGGGGGGGGCGAGGGGGGGAGGGAGTAGGGAGAGAGAGGTGGGTGGGAGTGAGAAGGGTGGGAAGGAGGGTGGGTGGGATTGCGAATGGCGGGAGGGGAGGACGGGAGGGAGGGAGATAAGGAGGCCAGACATGGTTCGGGGCAGTGCAGCGGATAGGGAGATGGATCGTTCGTTCACAGCACTTCAGAGTTGCAGGGGTAGTGGTGCCTTCCCGGGGTGAGTGGAGCAGAGAGTAGCAGCAGAGCCGGGAAGGAATTCGTTGGAAAGAAGGGCAGTGAGGGGCGAGCAGTTAGGGGCGGGGCGGTGAGTAGGGAGACAGTCGCTGGCACTCTGCACTCTGCACTCTAGGTCGTTGAGGGAGAAAGAGGCTCACTCACATGAACCCGAACTCCGGAGAAGGGCTATAGGCGAGCAGCACAGTGAACAGAGACACCGCCCCGAACGCTCCTGCTGCTAACCACTCAGGTACAGCTGCGAATGGGAAGGCGGTTGGTGAGGGAAAGGGTGAGGGGAGGGGAGGGGCGGACACAGTGAGGCCAAAGGAAGACGGGCATGTGAGTGCACAGGGGTTCAGATGGGTGCGTGTGTGTACATAAGATCCCTCGTCCCCAGCTCCACCTCTCAATCCTCTCCCCCACCCCTCCCCCACCCCCCCCCACCCCCCCACCTCTCTCACTTTCCCCTCACACTCTCTCCCCCAAAAGCTGCCCCCAGAGAGCACGAACGAGCAGGCAGGGGCTCAAGGTGGAGCACGTACGGGCGGGCAGGGGCCCAAGGCTGGAGCGCGGCACCACCACAGTTACGGGGCGGGCGTCAACCACACCCCCTATCCCTCCCCTTTCCCCCACCCCCCCATCCCCCACCTTTCTCATCTCTCAATTCCCCAAGAGCACGTACGGGCGGGCAGGGGCTCGAGGCTGGAGCGGGGCACCACCACGGCCACGGGGCGGGCGTCCTCGTCCGTGGACTCGAGCAGGAACAGCGCGTACTGGTCGCCGAACACCTCCTGGGGGGGGGGGGGTGGGGGGTGGAGCGAATATGGAGGGGGTGCGGGTGGAGGGAAGGAGTGAGCGGCAAAGAGTGAGACAGGGCAGGGGAATGGTCCGTGAACTCGAGCATGAACAACACGTACTAATCGCCATACGCGCGGGGAAGGGGTGGGGAGGAGGGGGAGTAAGCGGGTGGGGGAAGGTAGGGAAGGGGAAGAGGAGCGAGAATGAAAAGTAGAGCACAAACGAAATGGGGCATTGGGACATTGGAAGAGGCATTGGGGACGTGGCGGTAGAGGGGCGCAGGCTGCATGCATGCATGCGACACATCCACACACATCCCACGCTTCTTCAGTCGGCTTCGTCACGTAAGAATTGCTCCTTCCCCTCCCTACCTACCTCCCACGATTTCCCCCTACTCCCCTCATGCCCTTCCCAATCCCCCTCGTCCTCCTTTCACCCTTTCGCCTCCCCTTGCTCTTCCTCTGCCTTCAAACTCTCCCTTCTTCCCTCTTCACCACCCCCACCCTCCCCCGTTGCCCTCTACCCCCTATAACCACCTTGAGTCTGGCGGTCAGCTTGGAATAAGCGCGCTCCGAGTCCCCCCTTAGATTCCCGCGGAACAACACTCCGCCCTGCCAGGGGGAAGGTTTAGAGCGGGGAAACGGGGAGGTGCGGGCGGGTTGGGGAGACGGGACGGGAAGGTGAACAAGGGGGGGAGATGGTGGGGGGGAGTTGGGGTTGGGGGTGGCGCAAGACACTGGGGAAGGATGAATAGAGAAAGGCATGTGGAGTGGAGAGCAGGCTAACGGAGGAGGACGCATGCTGGTTGGTTACCATGGATGGATGGTTACCATGGACGGATGGTTACCATGGACGGATGGTTACCATGGACGGATGGTTACCATGGACGGATGGTTACCATGGACGGATGGCTGCGCTTCCATCCAATGCTTGTAAGTTGTGAGTTGTAACCACGTGGACTGTTCATTCAAACGCTAACTTCCGTCAACTCCCACACATGGCCCCCCTCACACGCCTCACCCCATGCCCCTCACCCCATCCATCCCCCTCACCCCATCCCCCTCGCCCCATCCCCCTCACCCCATCCCCCTTCAACCCATGCCCTTCTCCCCATCCCCCTTCACTCCATCCCTCTTCTCCCCATCCCCCCTCACCCCGTCCCCCCTCACCCCATCCCTCGTCTCCCCATCCGCCCTCACCGCAAGCCCTTCTCCCCACGGCGCGCACCTCGTACGGCTCTAGGTCCGTGACGAAGAAGGTGTCGAAGCCGAACACGCGGTCCCGCAGCGAGTCGATCACGGCTCGAGGCAGCTTCAGGTCCGGCGACGGGAACTCCTGCCGCGCAAGAGACGACAGGGGGTGGGGGGGGCTTTGATAGCGGCAGCAACGAGCAACGGGCATAACGATGGGATATCAACGGTTAACGACGGCAACAGGGCGGTAACAGCGACAGCGACAGCGACAACAGCATCGTCGCATCATAGGTCCCTCACCGGTGGAGGCTCCGATGGCAGCGGCTCGACTCCTCCTATGGACGCGCCGGAAAGAGCGGAAGGGGCGGACGGAGGGGACTCAGAGGCGGGCTCCTGCTGCTTTTCCTCGCTGCTCGTCCCATCCCTCTTCCCCTCCGCTCCGTTGCTTGTGGAGGAAGAGCCTTCCCCGTCGTTTCCCGAAGCCATGCAGCGCCATGAGGAGTGTTTTGTTGCGGCATTGCGACCTGTACCGGCGCTGTTTCTGCGGCTGGGTCGTTGCAGCCGCCGTTGCAAGGCGTGCACGGATGACGATGGACGTCTGCACGGGGCGAATAAACGCGTGGACGGAGGCCATGAGACGATACGCGGGGACAGCGAATGGCAAAACATGGGGGGGGGGGGGGGGGGGGGGGGTGGTAGCAATGGGAAATGGGAAAGCGGAATTGGGACAACGAGAGCGCAAGGAAAATAGTAAGTCTGCGCGGGAAATCTCGATCTGATGAGATTCGTTGCTAGCGGACGGCAAATGAAGGCCTGACACGTGTCAATCGCAATCAATAGTGTAACGCTGGAGAAAACGGGGCATCACATTCACTAGAATTTGGATATTCATAACGCAGAAATCTGACTGAGAACGGGAGGGAGGCGGGCGAGGAGACCTTAGAGGCAAGGAGCGAGCAGTTGTCGATGTCCGCACGGGCGTCATCGCCACAGAAGAGCTGGCCGCATGCACGGACTGCGCATCGTACAGGCTGCCTGCTCTGACTGCTAAGGACTCTACGGCGGATACGAGAGCCATTGCGAAATCGATAGGTCACCTGGTTGGTGCCGGAGTGGAATAGATTAGGATGGGACGCAATGTATGAAATGTGCAATTGAATTGACTTTTGCAGGGGAGCGGAGTGGATGTTGCTTGCTTGGGATGTTGCTTGATTGAACCAGCCTCGAGGGACAGAACAGAACAGTCTCGAGGGACTGTTTCGGTGTCAGCTGGGTGGGAAGCGGCGCGTGGTTTGCAGAGACGGGTCACCCAATCGACGGTTATTATGTCATCAAAGCTGGAGTACCGGGGCGATCGGATGGCCAATGTTGATTTGATGAGGAAATAGGAAGGTTCCATACGACACCTGCTTTGGCATGTATATTTTGATCCCAGATCGAAGAAGTTTCAAAAGGGAATGGGAGTCAGCTTCAGGTGGCTTCCGCCTGGCCCAATAGGGCACGCCAACTTCAGAGTTGAGAATCTCGCGAATTTCGCAAACTCTACTTCGCAAGCCCCCCGCCAGTATCGATCTCACTGCCAGGAAGATCAGCTGGCGGTTCCTTTGACCTCAGCCTAGGGACTCGGCGGCAAATCGGTCGGACAGCGTCAGGTGAAGTTACCAAAGAGTAGTTCGTTAATTTTCAAAAGACTAAACTCTCCAAGCCTATTTGTTGAATACCGTCAGCGAACCGTCAGCGACATCGAGAGTTTCGGTTTCACTCGGTTTTCTCTGCGTGCGACACTTGGGCAATGCGATAGGCAGGCGGCAGTGGTGATTCCAACAGTTCCCGAGGAGATTAGGGTGACACCCCAAGAGGGCAGCCATTTTAGGAGGCACAGATTCCTACGACACGGATACTTCCATTTCCGTTTATTTGAACGCGAAGCAGCCGTTGATCTGTAGCTGTTGCCCGGGCCGGAGATAGTCAACTCTCCCTGGTGACTAACCTTCGACCCCCCTTAGCACAGAACCGAGCACCCCACGTCGATCACGCACCGTGATCTGAACCTAGCATTCCCACTGTCCGTAGCAGTTCCAGAGCCATGGAAAGCGTAATCGGGCTGGTCAATAGGCTACAACAGGTCTGTACAGCGCTAGGCGACCATGGCGGCGGCGACGAGACGGATTCAGCGCTCCCTACGCTGTGGGAGCAGCTCCCTTCCGTGGCTGTGGTGGGAGGCCAGTCGTCCGGTAAATCCTCCGTGCTGGAAAGCATCGTGGGGAAGGATTTCCTGCCTCGAGGATCCGGGATTGTGACTCGGCGGCCGCTGGTGCTGCAGCTGCACAAGCAGGACGGTCCCGAGTACGCGGAATTCATGCACGCGCAGGGGAAGAAGATCACGGATTTCAACCTCGTCCGGAAGGAAATCGCAGGTATGGATGTTTTTATGGACGCCTTTTTTTTTCCTTGTGGTGTTGCGCTGCTCTTGCCTGTGGTGGCCATGACCCTTGATTTCGGGTTGTGTTTCTTGTAGATGCGTGCCTCAGCAGTTTCCACTCGCCCGGCCTTCTTGGAGATTTCTTCTCTGCTTCATAATGTTTCTGTTTTGATGGCTTCCTGCGCTTCCGTTTCTGGTTCATTTACTGTTTTCCCTCGGGAGTCGAACGTTTTCTTGTCACGTTCACCCCTTCCCGGGTTTCACTCTGGTGGCGCTGAGCCTTTTCCACTCCGTCCAATCTCTCCTCCACCTCAACCCTCCTTCAACCACGCACCAGACGAGACGGACCGCATAACGGGCAAGACCAAGGGCATCTCGTCCGTGCCCATCCACCTGAGCATCTACTCGCCGAACGTGATCGACTTGACGCTGGTGGATCTGCCCGGGCTCACCAAGATCGCGGTGGACGGGCAGCACGAGAGCATCGTGGCGGAGATCGAGTCCATGGTGCGCAACTTCGTCGACAACCCCAACTGCATCATCCTCGCCATCTCGCCCGCCAACCAGGACCTCGCCACGTCGGACGCCATGAAGCTCGCCCGAGAGGTGGACCCGTCGGGTGAGAAAGGCCCGGGAGGGTGGCGGGAGGGTGGCCGTGGGAGTGGTGAAGTGGCGAGTGGCGGGGGAGGGAGGGGTTGGGAAGGGGCGGGTTGGAAAAGGGGGGGTGAAAGGGGGAAGGTTGGTTGCGGTTGTCATGAGGTTGTGGAGAGGAGGGAAGCTAGGGCAGCAGGGTGGAGCTTGCTGGTCATAGAGAATACTGTCATGTCATGGCAGTCGGAATGTAAGCGTCTATGCTACAACCCCCCCGTCAACCTTGTTTTCCTTCTTCCCTCCACGCTTTCTCCCTCCGTCCCCCCCCCCGTCCCTCCCTCCGTCCCTCCCCCCGTCCCTCCCTGCGTCCCTGCGTCCCTGCGTCTCTGTTCTCCGTTCAGGTGACCGCACATGGGGTGTGTTGACGAAGCTGGATCTCATGGACAAAGGCACCAACGCCCTCGATGTGCGTTCTCCTGCCGCGCCTCTTGCTCAATGCTCACGCCCACCCACCTACTATTCACTGGTCACACACACCACCTGTTGCGTACCTGGACCCCGGCCGCCTTGGCTCCCAACTCTGATTCCGACCGTCATGACTGATTCACTGCTCCACACCTTCCTCCTCACTCCTTCTCCTCTCCTCTCCTCTGCTCTCCTTCTCCTCTCCTCTCCTCTGCTCTCCTCTCCTCTCCTCTCCTCTCCTCTCCTCTCCTCTCCTCTCCTCTCCTCTCCTCTCCTCTGCTCTCCTCTGCTCTCCTCTGCTCTCCTCTGCTCTCCTCTCCTCGCGTCTGCTCTCCTCCTACACAAGGCATGACTACCATCCTCGTCTCCTCCTTTCTCATTCTGTTCCATCCCTTTCTTTTGCCGTCCTCCCCTGAGCCCACCCCTCCCCCCCCCCCCCCCCAACTTCCTTCTTCCCCCTCCCTCCTTTCTCTCCCACCCCGAGCACCCTGTGAACTCTAATTATGCCCCTTCTCTCATCCTTCCCCCTCCTCCTGTCCCCCTCCCCCCCACCCCCGCTGGTAT